CCCCCAAAACCCCAAAACCCCAAAACCCCGTAAGTTATAAATAATATTAATTCAAATGGAAAAGTTCGGAGATCTAAGAGCAAGCAGACATAGAGTTAAGCATAGCAAAATGAAGTCTAAAAACCATCGTCAATATGAGCAAGAAGAAGTTAAGCATGCCCGTTCTAGACCGGATAGGTTCGACCCTCCACAAATAGATGAAGAGAGTAAATATTCTGCAGGAATAGATGAAGCCATTCAATTGGTGGAGATAACAGAGAAAGGAGTTTGAAAAATTAACCCAATAGCAATGAATATAGTAAAAGGAATCAAAACTAAAGTAGGAATAATCTCAGTAGTTGGCCCATACAGGACAGGTAAAAGTTTTCTACTTAACCGGTTGCTCGGACAACAAGATGGATTTGAGATAGGCCCAACTGTTCAATCTTGTACTAGGGGAATTTGGATTTGGGGTAAACCTGTCAAAGTCTCAGAAGATATGCATGTAATACTTATGGACACAGAGGGATTAGGATCTTGAAATAGAACAATGAATATTGATATAAAGATTTTCACTTTGTCAGTTCTCCTTTCATCAATGTTCGTCTATAATTGACTGAATGCTATTGATGAAAATGCGCTAGAAGTACTTTCCTTAGTGGTGAACCTTGCCAAATACATCAGTAATCAGAAGAAAAATGATTCAATGGATGTATATAACCAGGCAAATTATTCTCCATACTTCATGTGGGTAGTCAGAGATTTTTCCCTTCAAATGATGCCATCAGAGGAACTTGAAAAAGCAGGGCATGATCCTGCTACATATTGGGATAAACTTGAAAATCAAGAAGCTGCAGCCAAAGAATATCTCGAAAAATCTTTGGAAGCTATCGATCTTGGAACTATTAATGAAGAAAACAAAAGAACAGTTACAAAGAAGAATGAGATTAGAAAAGCAATCAAGAATTTCTTTCATCAAAGAGAAGCCACTTGTCTTTTCAGACCAATAAATGAAGAAGAGAAGCTTAGGATTGTCAATAAAATTCCCTATGAGGATCTAAGAAAACCCTTCAGAAAGCAAGTTGAGCACCTTATCAACAAAATATACTATAATGTCAAACCAAAATCCATCAATGGACAAACATTAACTGGAAAGATGTTTGCTCAAATGCTAGAAGAATACACCTCAAGCATGAACAATAATGGAATGCCAGAGATCAATACTGCTTGGGACAGAGTCATGGATACAGAAATTAAAAGAGTTCTACAAGAGAGCACAACCAAAATAAACTATCAATTACAAGAAGTAGTGATAGATAAGATGCCTATGCCTTTAAAACAACTCATTTCAATAGAAAGAAATGTAAGAAAAAGTGCTTTAAAGCTTTTGTATGACCCTAATATTAAAAATGCACCAAAAGACAAGCTCTCAAGACTTCAGGATAAATTTATAGAAAACTTAGATGAGATCTTTGAAGGAATTTTTAATGAAAATGAGATTATATCCAAAAGGCAAGCTAAAGATCTCCTTCCAAGAATGTACCAGAAGATTAAAGCAATGATAAATAAAGGAGAGTTTGAAACTATACATGATTTTAGTGACATTTATGGAAAAATGGCAATATCTTACTTTGATAACACCAATGAGCCTGAAAACTACAAGATATAATTCAAAATTTCCAGATCAACACAGTGTTTGAGGATTTAGACGAAATAATGCAAACACAAGTCCAAAGACATGAGTCTCAAAACCAAGAATATGAGACGAAATTGGAAACTAAAGATCACCAGATAGAGCATTTAAATGAACAGCTTAAAAAGGAAAAGACTAAAAACAAGGATAGAGAGCAAGAACTCAGAAGTAAGTCCCATAAATAATCTTTAGGCAAAAATATGAATATCAGATCTAACTTAGAAGAAGAAATACAGATGATAAAATAACCAAATTTCGAATAAAGATCAACAATTCGAAAGTCTTGGCACTATGATCAAAGAAGGATGGAACAATAGTGAGCAAGTTTTGAAAGAAATCAAAGCAAAAGAAATCGAAAACATCAAAGCAACTATCGCCTTAGAAAGCCAGAAGAAAATAAAAGAACTTGAGACAACACATCAGTAAGTATTCTATTCTAATTTCTACTAGACAGGTATTTATTCAGAGAGTAAAAATATGAGCTGTATAGGAACAACTTCATTATAAAAAGGAGATGAAGAAAGCATTGGAGAAAACTCTTGCAGGTTTAAAGATGTCTTATGAAGATGAAAGTAAGTTAAAAGAATCACAAATAGTACGCCTTTTGAAGAAAAATGTGAAAGATCAAGACAAGAAAATTACCCTTCTTAAGAAAATGTGTGTAAGAAAAGATACACAAATTCAAATGCTTGAAGAAAAAGCCCAATCAAACGAAAAGCAAGACAAATTACAAAAAGAGCATCGTGATATTTTATTTGAACTAGCCAGAGCTTTTAAAGAAGGGACAACTCCGGGTAAAGATTCGACAACAAATGAAAGTGCTACTCCTTATTAATTTGTTATTCAATTAGCATCAAACCTTCGGGGTTTTGGGGTTTTGGGGTTTTGGGGTTTTGGGGTTTTGGG